CATTGCGCGAAAGCGAGCATCAGGCATATTCAAGCCTGCCGCAGTCCAGCTCAGGGGGCGCGGGGGGCTGCGACGCGCGCGCGCGTCCCCTGTTGCGAACGATCTGCTCCGAAAAGTGCTCCTTCCCTGCGCCACGCTTCCCCCGTATTTCAAGAAAGGGAAGACTACCCCGATCCCCATTACCGGTTCTTGCAGAACAATCCTGGGAGTTCACTATGTTGTTCGATTCTTTCTTCGAGTGCGTTTACTGAAGGGCTCTGGTTGTCGGGGTGCTTATCATGAGGGTTAATCTTCTGTCCTCCAGCACCCGGCTCCTCCTCAGCCTCCTTCCCTACCTCTTGCTCCTTCCCTGCTCCCGCTCCTGCTCCTGATCCCTCCCCTCGCTTCTGCTTCTCCCCCTCGTTCCCCTCCTCCCGCTCGTTCTCCATTCTCCACCTGCTCCCTGCCCTTCTCATTGTCTCCTTCCCCCCTGCCGCTGCTACTCCTCCTCTCTCTCTCTCTCTCTCTCTCTCTCCCCCCCTCCTCCCTCTCCTGCTGCTGTTGGCTCCTGCTCTCCCTGCCTTCCTCGGCCATTCCGGCTCAGGACCTGCTGCGGCTGGCTGGTTCACACCGCTTCGCGGGGGACACGGCCAGACAGGCGTCTCGTCCATTGCCGGGCCGCCTCGTGGGTCCTCTTCGGGCTGCTCTGTGGCCCCCCCTCGGGCCCTCCCGGGCCCCTCTCGGCCGCTTCGGGGGGTCCCCCGGGGCCGTCTGCGGCTCTGCTGGGCGGTCTGAGAGGAGGAGGAGGAGGAGGAGGAGGAGGAGGAGGAGGAGGAGGAGGAGGAGGAGGAGGAGGAGGAGGAGGAGGAGGGAGGAGGAGGAGGAGGAGGAGGGGGAGGAGGAGGAGGGGGCCTTCGCAGGCCGTCGACCTGACGGGCGGACCTCACCAGGCCTGCGCCGCGTCCGCCGGCGCCCTCCCGAGGCCATCCTCGCCGAGGCGCGAGCGCGTTGGGCTCGGCGAAGGCGTCCTGGAAGGCCTGCCGCTATCCACGCCCGGAGGCTGACGGCATCTCCCCCGCCTCGGCAGGTCGAGCAGCCCTGGGCCTCCCACACGGGGTCCGAGCAGATGGGGCAGGAGCATCGCGCCGCATCGCCGACGCATCGGCGATGCGGCTCGATGTGGAGCCCGATGTTCTCCACAGCGACGTCGCCCATGCATCGCCCACGTCGCCAGTGCATCGATGATGCATCGGCGATGCGTCGGCGATGTGGCGCCATCCTCCGGCCCCACCTGCTCCAGCAAGGGGGTAGACAAGTGGAACCCCTTCGTTTTCGCCCCCGTGTTCGCCCCCCCCCCCCCCCCCCAGACTCAAAAGTTGGCGACCGGCCTGCTGGAGGCCCCTGGGGGTTCCACTCTGGCTGTCCTTCCGAGCCCGTGCTCCCGAATGCCCAGGGCCAACTTTGAACAGCGAGGGGGAAAGTCTGAAACTGGAACATCCACATTACCAGTGGCGGGCTGTTTTTCGATCCCAGTTTTTTTGGAGGGTCAAGGACGACTCTGGGGTGATGTGGTGTATACTTTTTTCCCCGATGTCCCGGGGAAACGCGTGAGCATATAGAGTTCGACTCCCTAGAAAGGAGGGAGCGGAGCCAAGGCTTCACTTTTGTTGTCCCTCTGCGCTCCGGCCCCACCCGCGAGGCCTCCATCGGCGAGGTGCCTTCTTCGTGTCCCGCCCCCGAGGGGATGCTGCCCTCGCGCATGCAGCTGCCGGCGGCGGCACTTGCCGCAGGCAGCTGGCAGTGGCTCGTCAATCGTGTGCCCGCTCGCTCGTTCCGCGTCAATCAGGAGGGGAAAAAACACACAGGAGGGGAAAATATGCAAAAATATGGGAAGTGGGGGGAAGACAAAAACCCAGAAAATATAGGAAAATATGCGGGATACTTTTATTTGTGTGTATTTATTTGTGTGTCCTGGGGCCCCTTCAGAAGAGCGTGCAGGACGCCCCGAAGATCGCCTCAGGGCGGCCCCCGAGGCCCCGAAGAGAGGCCGAACATGGCCCGCGGCACCAGGTCTCTGCCGCGGGGGGCTGCGCCCTCCGGGCCTGACAACTGGGTCGTTGTCGTTATGCCCAGGGTGTTCTCTTCGGCGGCCACGCGGGGCACACACTGTTCCTATCCAATTCTTCGAGGGTTCTTTGATTTTTTGGGGGCCAAGATCCTTTCCTTTCTGATTCTTCTATCCTGGGCCTCTTCCTGGCCACTAGGGGGCCAGGAACAGCTAGAAACGAGCACAATTAGAAATGAGCACGATAAGAAATGAACGACGTGTATGGTTACACTGGGGGTGGTTTGCGATCGGCACTGTTGGGACCTGGGGGGGCACGACACTGTCCTCGTCGGGCCTCCTCGGGGCGCGGGAGAACCCTGTCGAGGTCCCCGCGTGCCCCCCAGGGTGCCCCCCAGGATGTTCCCCAAGGTGCCTGTTGCAAACCACACCCTTTGCAAGCCACACCCTTTGAAATCGCAGATTTTTTGTCTACGGGGCAATTCGGGACAGTTCGCAACGCCGTAGCCCGATTCGCTCGACGCGCGAGCGGATCGCCTCTGCCTCGCCGCGACGGGAAAAGTTCTCTCTCTCCACCCCCCCGACGCTCGTTCCGGTGCGCGAGCTCTGCCGCGACCCGGCTGTTGCTGCCCGATGCCTCGTGTCCCGCGTCCTCCGCGGACCAGCACGACCTCCTGAGGCCTCTCGTGCAGAAGGGAGGCCGTCTGTGGTCCCAGACTTCCTGCGACCTTTCGAAGGGTTGCGCCAGAGCTGTGCCGTCATTCTGGGCATCTGGTAGCAACCTCCGATCCACAGGACTGGCAAACAGCGACAGGCATCCGCCCCTGCACGCCTGAGGGCCCGCGTGGCGACGTGGCCCAAGCAAGCTGGCCCCTTGAAGGCTTGGAGGTCGGTCCAGAGCCAGCATCCGCGACCTCACACGACTCGATGTTTGAAAGCCGCCAGTCGGTCCCAGACCTCACAACCCCTTCCCCAGCCCGGGGCCGACAGTTCGTCCTGACTGCTGTCGGTCAGTGCAGTCACCCCGCACGGCTGCACAGCTGGCCCTACAGAAAGCACACCCTGCATCGCCCACTTTTGCCCCTGCAGTCCGGTAGGTGACCTCTGGTGCTCGGTTGGTAGTCTTGCCAACGAGCCTTCGTCTTTGCCGTGCTTGGCTCCAGATTGCCACGCGGGCGCTTGTCAAAACTGTGTTCCAGGGCTTCATGCGTTGCCCTGTGTCATGCCACTCCTCTTCTTCTTGTTTCACCCAGCCTACAACATGTCTCATCATCTTCCACTTGACGTCATCGTGACTACCCGTATGTAATGATGTTATTGTTGGTGTTGGCAAGATGTGCAAGGCTGCTAGACTTCTGCAGAAGCCGACGACCTGGGACGCAACAGGACGATAATCTTGCGGCTGGGCGGAGTGTTTCGCAGGTTGTCATGCTGCATCCACATACAAGGCAGCCGGTTTACAATATTTCTCCCTCGCGTGCGGAAAGATCTTTTTGCAGTGCTTTGTCAATCTGTTGTTTTCGCTGTGGACACATCTTGATGACTTCCGCGAGCATGCCCGCGGTATCGATAAGAAGCCCGGGGCACGAGTTCGTTATTTTGCAATTTGCTTTCAGCCGTGCGCTAGCAATTTTTTGCACGCAAAGTCGCCACCACCTCGACCTCCTGCAGAGATGTTGCAAACAATGTGTGATCCTGATCATAGGGTCCTGTTTTTCCTGAGCGTCTCGAGGGTTTCGCGAGGGCCTTTTTGGGGGCTGGCCGGTGGCCTGTGTGGATCCTCTTCAGGGCCTTCCAGAGGGCCTTCGGGTGTCTGACGGCCATTTTTGTTCCGTCAAGGATCGCTCTGGGGCTGTCTAGGCCAGCCTTAGGAGTCTCTTGTGGGTGTTTTGGAGCTGCATTGGGCGTCTTGTTTGGACCTCTCCGGCGGTCAAGTGCGACATGCAAACCAGGCTGCCCGCCCAAGACCGTCCCAAGGCCCACCAGTCAATCTCTCATGCAGGCAAAGGAGATCTGATCCCAGTCTCACTCGCGCGCCTGGTGATCCCAGACGGCTCGGCGGATTCTGTCCTTGCTGGGTCGGGCCTGGCTGGCAGCCCGCCTGGTTGCCAGTCGCCTCAGTTGCTGCTAACACGTATCACATTACATTACATACGGTGGGGGCGTTGGTTGAGGAATCTGCCCAGGAGGCTTCTGGGGGATTCCTTATCGGATGAGGGCGGCAGTGGCACTCATGGCCAATCAACGAATGGAGTTCCACTGGCTTCCATACCGTGGGTTCCTTACCCAATGTGTTCAGAGGAGGCCAAGCCCGTGTGGAGGAAGTCCGTACGTAATGCTCAGTTTCCGTCCGGGCTGTCCCCGTCGGGACTTTGGCCTCTTCCGACGGGATGCTCCGTCCGTGCGGGGAGAGTCCCCACGGCGTGTTCGGCGTCCGTCCAGACCGTGTCCGTCCGGACTCAGCCCCTCCTGGTGGTTCCTTATCCAATGCCCGCACCGTGTCATACTGCGTACACCCACTTCGCACGCGATGGGCCGCCTCGCTGTGGTCGCTGTCCTTGCGACCCTGCGGTCCTCGGGTGGTCTGCAGCAGCAGACCCTCGCGACAGAGGGCCCGGGCCGCGAGCAGCCGAGGGCCGTGGCGTGGCTGATCTCGGGCCAGGTGTCTCGCTTCATCTACAAGGACTCCGCCAAGTTCATCGATGGAGGTGTTTCGGGGAACAGAATTGGCATAAACATAACTTTCGGATGTCCGCGCGGATTTCTCGGAGTGACGCTTGGACCCCCTGGAGGCGCCTCTGGCGCAGCCCCTGGCGCGCTACGCGCGCCGGGTAAGGGGGTCCAGCGCCGATCCAAGAAATCCGAGCGGACCTCTCAAAGTTTATGTTTATGCCATTACTCTCGAGGTATCCACGCGTGGTCTGGATGCAGTGATTACGATAAACGGCACGCTGAGTGTCCCATCGCTGTCGATGTGCACATCGCCCTGTCCAACACAAACGTGACGGGGTTCCGGGGAGCGAAGTACGAGCTGCCAGCCTATGGGGAGGGGGCGTTCGAGAAGCCCTCCATTGAGAAGCACTTCGAGACCATGCGGGTGAGTGACGGAATGCGACGGGTGGCTGAGTCGATGCGTAATGAGTTCGCGAGTTCTGGTGCTCGCGAGGTCCATATCAGAATCGTCGATGGCGATGGGTTCGAGAAGGACATGAGGAAAGTCCGGGAGGACATCTTGGCCAAAGCCAAGGCGACGAGTAACATGGATCCCGATGCCTTCGATTATTGGTGGAGGAAGCTGCCGAGCCGCGAGGGCCGCTTCGAGCAGAACGGCAACATGATGTACCTGCGCCACCTCGCCTACAGCTCCGCTGTGGCGGCCGAGAAGAAACTCCCCTACAAGTACACGCACGTCCTGTACACCCGCGAGGACAACGTCTTCGTGCACCCGCCCTTCACCCTGCTGCAGCTCGCCAGGGATATGGACAACGGAGCCGCGCCTTCGGAGTCTCCGGCGGCGATCCTGGTGGACAAGCACTGCGGCTGGAACTTCTACTCCGACAAGCTCTACTTCGCCTCCCGGCGGGGCATCGACGTGCTCTTTGCTCGGACCCGCGACGCGCACATCTCCCAGATGGCGCAGTGGATCAACATGGCACCGACGGCCACCAAGGGCACCGACCCGCTGATGACGGAGGAGTACTTCAAGAGGCTGCTGGAGGCCGCCCACGCCAACGTCACGAAGTTCGAGTTCCGCCGCTTCGAGGCGCGGTACGTGGCCGGCTCCAGCAAGCCGTGCATCCCTGACCTGTACAGGAAGTGCACCATCGTTCCCATGTTCGACACGTGCCCGAAGAAGTTCGCAGGCTACAGATAGGCCCACTCCTCCCCGCATCCCCTCTGTTGCCCTTCCCTTCCCCATGGCCGCATCCGCTCTACAATTGATCAGTCCGAGTACAGCTCTCCCTCCTCCCCTGAAGTTGTCGGGAACATCTCCAGCTCACTCCGTGTGCTGCTGATTCACACAGGATTTGAAATCTTGATTTTGCTAATGTTTTTTTGCAATCCGATTATTTTCGGTGTTTCCAAGTGGTGCTCCCGCTGCAGCGTGGGCCTCATTTTCGGATCGGCGCTTTGCTCCCGTCGTTCAGAATGGCGCTCTCGCCCCAGCGCGGGCCACTTCTCTGGATCCGAGTCTTGCTTCATTGTAGTCCCCCCCCTCGTTTCCCCTCTTCCGCCTTCCCCTGTTCCTCCTGTTCCTCCCGCTCCTTCCACTCCATTTCCTACTGTTCCTGTTCCTCTCGCCCAAGCGCGGGCAACTTTTCTGAATCCGAGTCTTTCTTCATCGTTGTCACTCCCCTCCTTTCTTATCCTCCGCCTTCCTCTGGTCCTCCTTTTCTTCCCGATCTTTCCGCTTTCGTTCATGCTGCTGCTGTTCGCCCTCATCTTTTTCCTCCCGCTCATCCTCCTGCTCACCCGCCGCCTTCTCCGTCTCCTCGCCCTCCTCCTTCTTCTGCTCCCCCGCCTCCTCCTGTGCCCGCGGCTCACCTTTTTTTTCCGATTGCGCATCACACGATTTTTTGTCAGTGGAGTCGCAGGTCGGCCAGGACACGCGTCCGCGGATAGAGAAAACTCCGCGAAGAGATGAAATGGAGGGATAGGATGTCAGATGAGGCGCGAGCGCACCTAGCTTGCCATCCACCCCTCTCCCCCCTCCCCCTTCCCCCTCCCCCCCTTCCCGCCCTTGCCGCTTCCCCCCTTGCCCCTTTCGCCCTTCCCCCCCCCTCCCCCTTTCCGTTCCCGTCTCTCTCAGCATCCTCCCCCCCTTCACTCCCTCTTCTTGCCCTCCTGCGTACCCTTCCCCCTGACCTCTGCTCCGCTGCACCCCGTCTTCTCGCCAGAGATCGTTCCCCCGAGCTCTCCCAGGCACCGCCCTGACCCCTCCCAGGCCGGGAGCGCTCCGCCCTGCTGGCCCCCCCTGCCCCTGCTCCGCCTGCCGCTCCTCCTCCTCCTCCTCCTCCTCGTGCTCCGCCTCGACGTCGATCCCCTCGACCCGGACAGACGCGCGTCCTGGCCGGGACTGCGAGGCGCGAATCCGGCTGCGGCGACTCGTCTCCTTCCTGCTCCTGCTCCTGCTCCTGCTCCTGCTCCTGCTCCTGCTCCTGCTCCTGCTCCTGCCCTGCTTCTCCTCCTCCTCCTCCTCCTCCTCCTCCTCCTCCTCCTCCTCCTCCTCCTCCTCCTCCTCCCTCCTCCTCCTCCTCCTCCTCCTCCTCCTCCTCCTCCTCTCCTCCTCCTCCTCCTCCTCTCTCCTCCCTCCTCCTCCTCCTCCTCCTCCTCCTCCTCCTCCTCCTCCACCAGTCTTCCGCGATTCGATTTCTTGGACTCGCCAGCTCCAAGGCAGCTCAACTTCTCCCCGAGCTGGTCAGTTTCTTGACGGTCTGGGGTCCAGGAAGCGGCGCCTGGAAGCCGAACTCCGTGAATAACATCTGGAGGAGGAACAGGAGGAGGAGGAGGAGGAGGAGGAGGAGGAGGAGGAGGAGAAGGAGGAGGAGGAGAGGAGGAGGAGAAGGAGAAGAGAGAGGAGGAGGAGGAGGAGGAGGAGGAGAGGAGGAGGAGAGGAGGAGGAGGAGGAGGAGGAGGAGGAGGAGGAGGAGGGGAGGAGGAGGAGGAGGAGGAGGAGGAGAGGAGGAGGAGGAGGAGGAGGAGGAGAGGAGAAGGAGGGGAGGAAGGAGGAGGAGGGAGGGAGGAGGGAGGAGGAGGAGGAGGAGGAGGAGGAGGAGGCGCGCTTCTTCAAATCGCCATAGGTGTGGGCTTCTCGAGGTCCCCAGAGGCCTCCGCAGATCCCCCGGGAAGGATCCCCAGAGGCCTCCAGAGGCCTCCAGAGCTCACTGGAAAGCCAAAGAGGAGTAAAGGCGCCCAAACACGTCGATACAGAATCGTCGATCCTTCCCCTCCCTTCTTCTTCTTCTTCTTCTTCTTCTTCTTTCTCTCCTCGTCCTCCTTCCCCTCCTCCTTCTCGTTCCTCTCTGTCCTCCTCCTCCTCCTCCTCGTTTCTTCCTGTCCTCCTTCTCCCTCCCCCCCTTCCTCCTCCCCCCTCCTCCTTCTCCTGCCTCTCCTCCGATCAAAAGTCGCCCCCCAGGGTCTTTCCAGGGTCGCGTTACCACCTTACTTTCGAGGCAGATCCAGCCATGGCGACAAGGATGCCCAACAAGTTTTTAAAAGTGCGAAAGGGAATCCAAGAGCATCGATCCTCCTCTCGCCTTTTTCCCCCCTCCCCCTCCGTCTCCTCCTCCTTCTTCTCCTCCCTCCCTGCTCCATCCCTCCCCACCCTCCCTCCCTCCCCGCCTCCCTACCTGCCCTCCCTCCCTCCCTCCCTCCCTCCCTCCCTCTCTCCCCCCCCTCCCCCTCCTCCCTCCCTTCCTCCCTCCCTCCCTCCCTCCCACCCATACAGGGCAACTGAAGGCTATCCATGCAGTGTACGAGCAGCCCCTCGCTCACAGGTGAAGGGCAGACGTTTTGAATATGAAGGATCTGGAAGGGGCCCCCTTACCTTCCTCCCTCGTC